CGGCTACTGAGGGTGCTGGTGCCGCGGGTCCCGGAGGTGCTGGAGCTGGAGCTGCTGAGGGCGTTGGTGCTGAGGCTACTGCTGTCGGTCCTGGAGGCGGTCCTGCTGGGGGTGCTACTGGTGCTGCTGGAGGTCCTGGAGCTGGAGGTGCTACTGGCGCTGGTGCTGCCGCTGGGGGTACTGGTGCTGTCCCTGCTGTGTCTGGAGTCGTCGCGCGGCCTAGACCGTACTTCGTTCCGCTCCTTCAGCAGGTTCTTGGTCTCCCGCCTTCTACTGGTCCTCCTCCTCCCTTAGAGTGTCCACAGCCTGTTCTGTCACAGTTACAGTTACAGCCGGCCTCCCCACTGCCCGCTCCTTCTCCCTACACTGGTCCTACTGGAGGTCTTGCTGAGCGTCGTGAGCCTGCGTCTCGCCCTGCGTCGCCTGTCCGTGCTGCTCGCACTAGTGGTCGTGGTTCGCGTCAGCGTCCTCCTCCTGTCCCTGGCACGCACCGGATGTCTCTGCGTCCGTCCACTGCTCCTCTGCGTGCCCCTTTGCCTTCTCCTCCTGAGTCCTCTCTTCCTGCTCTTCCTGACCCGGAGTCGGACTCTCTTCGTGCTGCCAGTCCTGCTGTCACACGTCTCCTTGCTACTGTCGTCACTGACCCCTCTTTTGAGTCCACTGCTGCGTCTGCGCTTGTTGCTGAGCTCGTCGACTTTGCTGCTCGCTGTCGTCTAGACTACGCTGCCGGTCTTGTTGCTGAGTCTGCGTCTGTCTGTCCTCCGTCCGTCGGGGGTGAGTGTGCTCTTGGCACGGACGTCCTTGAGGACAGGCAGGAGGAGTTCAGGTGTCTGGCTGCTGCTTCACCTCATCTCGCGTCCGTACTACTTGCCCCTGAGGGAGACCCGGATGCACTAGACATCCCGACTCCGCGCTCTTACGCGGAGGCCGTAGAGGGTCCCTACTCCTCTCAGTGGCAGGCAGCTATGGATGCAGAGATGGCGTCCTGGAAGTCCACAGGCACCTACGTTGACGCGGTTCCCCCTCCTGGGGCGAACATCGTCAGTGGCATGTGGATCTTCAGGGTGAAGCGGCCGCCGGGCTCTCCACCTGTCTTCAAGGCGCGGTACGTCGCTCGTGGCTTCAGTCAGCGGCAGGGAGTTGACTACTTTCAGACCTTCTCTCCCACCCCGAAGATGACCACTCTTCGGGTGCTGCTGCACATAGCCGCTCAGCGCGACTACGAGCTCCACTCTCTTGACTTCAGTACTGCTTTCTTGCAGGGTAGCCTGCACGAGGAGATCTGGCTGCGCCGTCCACCTGGCTTCACTGGGACTTTTCCTCCTGGCACCCAGTGGAGCCTCCGACGGCCAGTCTACGGTCTCCGCCAGGCACCGCGTGAGTGGCACGACACACTGAGGACTACGCTTGCGGCTCTTGGGTTTGCTCCCTCTACTGCTGACCCGTCGTTGTTTCTGCGCACCGACACTTCTTTGCCGCCGTTCTACGTCCTCGTGTACGTCGACGACTTGGTCTTTGCCACAGCTGACACTGCTGGACTAGCCTACGTGAAGTCCGAGCTGCAGAAGAGACACACGTGCACAGACCTCGGTGAACTGCGCAGCTACCTTGGCTTGCAGATCACTCGGGACAGAGCACGCCGCACCATTACCTTGACTCAGTCACACATGGTGCAGCAGGTCCTTCAACGCTTCGGCTTCACGTACTCCTCGCCTCAGGCCACTCCTCTGTCTACTCGCCACTCGCTCTCAGCTCTGCCTTCGGATGAGTCCGTAGAGTCGAGTGGCCCGTACCCAGAGCTTGTTGGCTGCCTCATGTACCTGATGACCTGCACACGACCTGACCTTGCATACCCTCTTAGCATTCTTTCACGCTATGTTGCTCCTGGGAGACACCGACCAGAGCACATGGCTGCAGCGAAGAGGGTGTTGCGCTACTTGTGCAGTACGTCGGGCATGGGGCTAGTGCTTGGAGGGCGGAGTCCAGTGGTCCTCACTGGGCACGCGGACGCTTCTTGGGCAGACGACCAGGCTACACAGCGGTCGTCGCAGGGTTACACCTTCAGTCTTGGTTCCGGCTCTGTCTCGTGGCGGGCTACTCGCTCGTCCTCTGTTCTCAGCTCCAGTTGTGAGGCTGAGATCTACGCCGGGGCCATGGCTGCACAGGAGCTTCGTTGGCTCACCTACCTGCTGACTGACCTTGGAGAGCCGCCTCGTTCTCCTCCAGTGTTGTACGTAGACAACAAGGCCATGCTGGCCTTGTGTCGAGAGCAGCGCTTGGAGCACAGAACGAAGCACATTGCTCTCCGTTACTTTCTTGCTCGTGAGCTGCAGCAGCGTGGTCAGTTGCGACTTGCGTACGTGGCCTCTGAGGCCAACACTGCTGATGTGTTCACCAAGGCACTTGCGCCTTGTGACCATCAGCGCTTCTGCACCCAGCTGGGTCTTGTACCTGTCTTGCCTCACTTGCTCTCTTCTTGACCTTGCTTGTACTGTCACATATATATTCCTGCTCTTGCTTGTCTAGCTCTATATATATATGTGTACTCCTGCATGTGAACTGGCCCTGTTGCCCTGTCGTTGTGCTCGGACTGTGTGGTGACTTTGTGATCCACCCTGAGCTTGCTCTGCTTTGCTTGACTGGTCTTGTGACCCCTTGTTCTCCCCCACTTTGCCTATGGGGGTGTGTCAGAACATATATATAGCTTATGCTGTTGTGTAGGCTATAGTGGGGTATCCCATAGGGGGTACAACCCAATTAGGGTTTCCCATATGTACTCACTTCATTCATAGTTCATTCATTCTCGTTCTACTATTCTCATTCAGAGCCGGGTGCGCGGTGGTTTCGTTGACGACAGCCTCCGAGACTGGGACGGTTGTTGATGACGTCCAGAAGCTCAGCTTCTGCTGCTTGAGCTTGATTGCGCGCGTCGCTGACGACTTCGACGCCGACGTGCCGATGTGAACGGTGTCGGAAACACCAGGCGGCGCAGGAGGGTTGGCCCGGATAGAATCCGGGCTTGAAGGCACGTCCGGATTCTCAGGCACCGTAGGAACGGGACCGGGTGCAGTCGGCGCAGGAGGTGGAAATGGACGGCCTAACGATCTAAGGAGAAGATCCAGCCCTGTACGGGCTTCTTCGATGGCTACGCTATCGGCGTCGTCTAGATCGGCGTCAGCCTCATCGTCTGAAAGGCCAGCCATGGCGGAACACAGACAAGAGCGAGCCGAGCACAGAGAGAGCGTGCCGAGCACTGAGAGAGCGAGCGGAAAATGGTTTGGTGCTGGAGGCGAATGAACAGAAATGAAACCCTAGCGGGCTAGGGGGTGGGGTGGGGGAGTCCAGCAACTGCCAGAGGATATGTAAAAACGAGCTGATGAAGCGGGCTTGGTTGGCAAGCTACACGTGCCACGATACAAGGCGACGTGCCCCTGGTAATCATGCACGAACCGATGTACCTAGACTACCGGAATTCAGGGCACTCACGCGAATCTCCATTACAGGGATTTCAGCCCAACCCTTTGCTATAGCTCTGACGATACAGCGTACACGACTGGAAAAAAACTGATATTTCAGCACAGACATATTCTAAAAAACTGAACTATCAGCAAACACATAAAAAAAAAAAAGCTGACACAGCAGCCTCAAGAATCCCCCACCACTGAAATCACAGCCTTTTTACCCCTAATCAGCCTTTTTTCGCTGACTTATGAGGGCCTGCCCGGTACATTATTATAGGGGGGTCTTTTATCCGGGGGGATACGGTATGAGGCGCCTCCAACCAAAGAGCTCCGTCCATCTCATCATCACAATAAAGAAACCCATGCTGTCAAACATATGTATATATGTGTTATAGTTTGGGTAGGCTTAGTGGGGTACTTACTGTGGGGTACAACCCCTTGGGTTTTCACTTTGTACCAACCCCTCGATAGTCGACACCACCTTTCTCCCGTAAGATTCTAACACATGCGTGGTAACAAGTTTCTCCAAACAAAACAAACAAGGCCAGGCAATAGCCTGATTATGAAAGCAGCCACTGGCTTTCACATTAGCACTAAAGCAGCTGCTGTCTGTGTGTCTGAGGGGAAAAAAACTAAGGTATAAAGAGAAGAAATCCACGTTAGTGGAGCGGCCAATTTCAGACAAAACCCAAGAGTCATCCATCTCTTGAAAATTGCAATCACTGCACATGCCACCCGCCCGCGCAACCCCCAATAAGACATAGGGCAGCAGCAGCTGCTGTCGGAGAGAAGAGGGGGGTTGAGCAAGCAACAGGGCCGTGTGTCTCTTGTCTCTTCCCCTCCCAACTGCGACGTGATGTGATGCGCTGCAGCTCCCCATCTTCTCTCCAGCGCCACTAGAGCAATTGAGCTGGTCCAAGCCATTGCCAACCATCCTGGTCATGATACCGCGTTAGATGCATTGCTTTGCAATACCTGCAAGAGCACCTGCTGCAACACCTGCCGTCAATCCATCCCCTCCTCCCTTTTTTTACAATTGATGCAGCTGCTCTCTCCCTCCTGCCCCCGTATTATAGCAATTAGAGCAGCTGCTGCCCCCTCTTCCCTTCCCCCCCCCCCCTCAAACCCTCGTTTGTTTCTACAAATGAATCAGCTGCTGTCACCCCTCCCATCTCTTGTCCATTTAGAAGGTTAGCAGATACTGCCTGCACACTTGGAGGAAGGAAAGCAGATGCCATTGATGCATGCTACTCCCCTCCACCATCCTTCTCATTGTGTCTAGAAGCAAAAGAGTTGTTGTCTCTCTCCTTAACCAATCCCCCTGTCTCCTCCATACCCCTCCCTCCCGTCCCCCCCACCACCTCCCCTCTCTTCCCAGTTCATCGCGTTTAAAAGTTCAGCAGCTGTTGGCGGAGCGCGTAGCGGAAGAACGCGCCTACCTCCTGCCGCTTGTTCAGCATCAGCAGCGCTTCTGTCTCTCTCCCTCTCCCCACCTCTTCCAACACCCCTCCCTCCTCCCCCCCTCCCCTTTGACCGAGTTTAGAAGTAGAGCAGCTGTTGGCGGGGGGCGTGGCGGAAGAACGCGCCCACCTCCTGCCGCTTGTTCAGCATCAGCAGCGCCTGGCACAGCCCGCGCTTCATCCACCGGTTCACGCGCGGAAGGTCCGCCGCGCCCCCAGCCGCCGGGTCAATCCGCAGCGCCGCCAAAAACGCGTCCACGGAACCGGACTCAACCGCGGCTTCGAGAAACCCCCACGCCCACGCCATGTACAGGCGCGGGCTGGCGCCTTCCCCGCGCATGCTCAGCGCCGCCGCCCATACCGCGTCCGCCATGGGTTGATGCACCAGGTGCGGGCGTTGGCGCACGTACGCGGCGATTTTCAGCAGCGCGCTCGCGACGAGGTCCGGTTGCGTGGGGACGAGCAGGTGCGCGGGGATGAGTGCGCGCACGGCGTCCCCGAACTCGCCCAGAGCGCGCCACTGCGAGGGGGTGAGCAGCGCGCGCGTGCGCTGGATGCGCGCCGCTGCCGCCGCCGCCGCGCCACACACGTGCCGGTGCTTCCGCCAGGCCTGCATCTGGCACAGCCGGCAGCAGTAATACACCAGTCTGGGGTAGCAAGGAGGAAGGAAGAGAGCGGGAATCGGCCGGGGGAAAGGGGAGGGAGGAGGGCGGCGGGAAGGAGAGGGGAAGGGGGGTGAAGCGGAGGAGGAAAAGGGGACGAGAGGGATGGGGAGTGGCGGGCGGTACGAAGTTAAGAGGAAAACGGGTACGGCTTCAAATACCCACACCTGTTGTTAGTGCCTGCAGCAGCTTAGCATGCTGTAAGTACCTCCAGCAGCCTACCACGCCATTCGCTTTGCAGACCTAGCACGCCCGTAGGTCCCTACTGGACCAAGCCCTACCCCCGGCTGACCTGCAGCAGTCCAACAAGCCTTTACCACATCCAGAAGCATAACACGCCTCTGAAGCCCTACTGGACCGCTTTCCATCCCGGGAACTAGGGCCTGGACCGCCCCCCATCTTGGCTGAACCGCAATAGCCCAAGATGCCTTTACCATCTGCAGCAGCCTAACTCGCCTCTGGACCCTGCTGTACCGCTCCCTACCCCCCGCTGACCTGCAGCTGCCGCATTTGGAGGTGGCGGGGCGGCGCACGCAGAAGTAGCAGGCGTTGTCGGGAATGTCGAACGCCATCAGCCCAGGGCCTGGATTCCCCACCTCGCCCACCGCTCCCGCTTCCGCGCCCGCTCCGGCTTCCCCAGCTACCCCTCCCCCAGCTGCGCCGGCAGCAGCGGCGGCAGCGGGAGGAGCGGCGGAGATGGGTACGAGAGCGAAGTTTCGTTGGATGAGAAAGTTGATGGTTAGCGAGCCTGTCGCGCCGATGAGCAGCGCCGCTAGCACGGAGAAGTCGATGGACTCGCTGACTCGCGGCAACAACGAGCCGACATACTCACGTGAAAGATAGCAACCGGCGATTAAGAGTGCGACGGCGAGACACGCTAGCGCGCACGCCACGTGCCGGACTCTAACGTTTCCCAGCATCGTCTAATAACGCGACTCACTGAGCTTATGAAGAGAAACGTTGCAACAACGAAAGTGGGGGACGGGGAACCCTTGGATCGACTTCCAAGCTCGGTCAACGACTGCGTGTCGGATTTAGGTCACAAGCTGCGACACGACCTAACCCTAATACGCCAAGGCTCTACCATGTCTTATCCTGGACGAAGTGACTTATAGAAACTATAAGATATCGACACTCTTAGTAACCTACCTCGGCAAGCTCTGGAACCTAGACGCCAGCGGTCAGCTTGCGAACGGTAAGGCAGGAAAGCAACACGGATTCATCTGCCACGCCTGGTTGACTGGGTCGGGCTGGGCTGGCCTCACAGCTTAAAGCGACGGGCAACTTTTGGCAGTGTTGGGTTCAGAAGTTTTTTTTTTGAACCAGGCTTGCCAGCGCGAAAGTGCTGGCTGGCGAAAACCAGGATTTCGTGCGGACACTTTCCATCCGCAGTAACAGTTCGCCAGGGTTCTGGGTTTTGGGTGGCAAATGTGCACCGTCGCTGCCTGAGGCAGTGAGAGCGAACAAGCGGGCGAGAACCATTCAACCAAACCGTGCGGCGAAAAACCAGGGGTAATTAGCTTTGGCAGGGGTACTACTAGCGACCCTGCTCTTTCCAGTGAACTACAGCGCTAGTTGCGGGCACTTTCCGCCCCTCTGACCCTCAGACAGGTGAGTTATGGCAACAGCACAGAATTCGGTCCCAAATTCACCCACGTGTCACAAATTCGAGAAAATTAGAGAACGCAGGGCAGAAAAACATAAAACCCATAGGGGACCTGGACTCATATTCGGGAGGGATCAACCCTAAATACGTGAACCCACATTTTTTTAGGGTTGATGCCTCCCCTAGACGCATCCCGTTCCGATTGGGTTTTAGTTTTTTTTCGGTCAGGTTTTTCCAGTGGCTTGCAAATTTGTGACACGTGGGTGTATGTGCAGCCGAGTTCTGTCCTGTTGCAACAACTTGCCTGTCGGAGGGACGGAGGGGCGGAAAGTGCCCACAACCAGCACTGTAGTTCCCTGGAAAGCGCAGGGTCGCTAGTAGTACCCCCGCCAAAGCTACTTACCCAAAAACCAGCATCAAGGCTTTGGGAAACTCGGCAGGCTTGGCTGGCTCCTGCGAGTTGAGGTGGGGGGGCTAGTGGTGGTTGGTTGTGGATGAGGCTGGCTCGGCCGGATTTAGTTGGTTCAGGCGTGGTTTTGCTGGTTCGGGCTGGTTTTGGCTAGTCCGGCGAGGAAGACCCTCGGTTGGTTTGGAGTTCACTCAGTCTGCTCGCGTCTGTTGTGACGGAGACATGCGGCGAACAGACACGATGGCTGGGCATTTCCGGTTTCACCCGGGTAGATTTCCTGTCAGTAATGGTAATGCTGACGAGTAAAATAGGTGAGTTATTGTTGCAGAGGCCGCTGCGAGCCAATCAAATAGCCCTAAATTCGTACACGAACAAACATTAGAATCGTACCCAGTCACATCGATGTGACCCCCAGGAAAGTCAAACATCGTGGAAAATGAATGGACAGGATACAGAAACGATTCGCACCGTGGGACCGCCTGCAGGGCGCGCGGTTCAGTGATATGCAAGATGGTTCGCTGCAACCTACAAGCTTTAGACAAGAAGAATCTGGAGTGTTCTTCCACGACTTCTGAATGATCACGACCACAAAATAGTGTTCCATGGGATAATATAATTCAGTAGTGTCCAAGCCTTCTGAGCTCAGCTTATTGTGCACTTATCAGTCCCCACAGCACCTTCATGATCTTTCTCAACATGCCGAACCAAAGCCACAGGGTCGGGAAAACGTTTCCCGCATCTTGGGCATTGCTCAGGCCCTTGGCCACCACCCGCCCGACCTGCACCGCTTCTGCTTCCCGCTGCCCCTGAACTACCAAGCCCAGCATTACCGCCAAACTGCACGCTGACACCTGTTCCCCCATGCGCATGTGCTGTCTCCACATGGTTAATTAATGCCACAGCATCCCCAAACCTCACTCCACACTGAGGGCAGACCTCTGGCCCCCCACCACCATCCCCTCCCCCAGCCCTGGCTGCCCCTGCACCTGGTTGCTGTGGCTCTGCTGATCCCACTCTGCCTTGTGAGCCTGCAGCTGACGCCGCTTGTCCTGCACCCTGTTTCTGGCGCCTTGCCGCTGTCCCTCGCACCGTGTTAAGATCATTAGCTGCAGCACCAACACCACTGCCGCTGCTGCTGCTGGCACTGCCACTGCTTGTCTTACCCTTGTTGGTAGATGTCGACGCCATGCTCCCAGTACTGATATTTTTACCAGCTGATTTGCCTGCACCACTGGCTCCACCGCCACTGCTGCTGCCAGCACCAGCTGCACCACCACCCGGTGCCATTAGCCCTGCCATGGCGCCTTGCATGCCTGCCATCAGCTTCTCACTGTACGCCCCACCAGCTGCCCAGAATGAAATGGGTTGCGAGTTCTTTTGGATGCCGGAGCACGCATGGTCGGCGCCGAAGCGGTGGCGCAGGCAGGTTTGGCGGGTGCAGTCACGGCAGGTGACGGTGTTGGCGGGCGAGAGCACCTCCTTGCAGCCCTGTGCCGCACACCGACGCTTGTTGGCCACTCTGCAGCAGGAAGGTGTGTGGAGGTGAGGAGAGGAAACTGGAAGAGTGAGGTGCGAAGGTGTTGGCTGGGAAGGGCACCTCCTTGCAGCCCTGTGCGGCACACCGGCGCTTGTTGGCCATCCTGCAGGGGGATATGAGAAAGGGGAAGGTGATGAGAAGAGGAGAGGAAAAAAAGAGAAGAGGAAGGGCGAAGTGTGACGGTGTTGGCGGACGAGAGCACCTCCTTGCAGCCCTGTGCCGCACACCGGCGCTTGTTGGCCACCCTGCAGGGGGGGAAGAGGGGGTGGGGTGTTGAGGAGGTGAAGGAGTGGAAAAGGGAGAGAAGCAAGCGTGAGGTGCGACGGTGTTGGCGGGGGAAAGCACCTCTTTGCAGCCCTGTGCGGCACACCGGCGCTTGTTGGCCACTCTCTAGTGGTGGGGTGAGGAGGTGGGGAGTGGAGATAAGTGAAGAGGAAGAGCGAGGTGTCACAGCGTTGGCTGAAAAGAGCACCTTTTTGCAGCCCTGTGCGGCACACCACCGCTTGTTGGCCACTCTGCAATGGAGGAAGGAAGGGGAAGGTGAGGAGGTGAGGAGAGAAAACAGGAAGGGTAAGTGTCGACAGTGTTGGCTGGCGAGAGCACCTTCTTGCAGCCCTGTGCGGCCCACCTGCACTTGCTTGCCACTCTGCAGGGGGGAAGAAAGGGGGAAGGTGAGGAGGTGAGGAGAAAGAAGAAGGGTAGGTTGCGATGGTGTTGAGAGAAAACAGAGGTTGCTTGCAGCCCTGTGCCACACAACTGCGCGTGTTCGCCACCCAGTGAGGGATTGGGAGAAAGGGGAAAGGCAAAGCTGTAGCTCAAAGTAATGCTGTTCCTCAAAGAGAATGACTGTAGCAGCTGATTGCAGACTGTAGCTCAGAAAAATGCTGTTCCTCAGAATATGACTGTGGCAGCTCATTCCAAGACTCTAGCTCAGAGCAAGGCTGTAAAAAGGCTGTAGATAAAAAAATGCTGTACATTAGTGCAAGGCTGAATAAGAAATCACCCTGCATTTAATTGCAGAAATACCAAGCTGATTTCACCGCATCATACCTTTGCAGATTACTGGGATCGCATCCGGACCGTTCATGCCGCGCCCACGTCACATTCGGGTCCTCGTCGCCCACCAGTCGCACGGCCTTGGCGCACAGCGGACACAGCAGCACCACAGCGTCGCCGACTGTCGCACACGGGCACTCGTGCGACGCCGGCATGCGATGCGACAGACAGAAGACCATGCGACACTTGTCGCAGGTGAAGGGAAGGAAGTCGATCTGCTGGCACGACGTCACCGAGCAGTGCTTCCCCAGGTCGGGAAAGGCGGGCGTCCCCATAGTCGCCGTACAAACAGGCTCGATCTAATCTATAATATATAAATAACCTCGTATCTCCAGTAAGTCTGCGAGACTTATCTGCGCTAGTAGCTGAGCTTGATCCTCCCAAATCTGGCCAAGGCAGAGCACCCATGTAACAATATGCATCACCATGGATGCTGTCCTAGAAGAAATTAGCATCGACGGTCATTTTTCTGCAGCGAAACTGAAAGGGCTGACGGTCGGTGCTGAGGCTATCTCTGCTAATAGTGTCTACGCATAAGTCGGCGGATCGGACGGTCAAATCCCAATGGATAGTTGAAAATACGTCGTGGAAAACTAACTTAGACGTTCGCGATGAGACAGGCAAACAGCCAGCCTCGGTGACGGTCGGCTGTCGTGGGCAGTGGTATTACTAGAGTCTAGACTGGAGATAATAGTGGTCAGCAACGGGGATGTCATCTCATCATGCAATGAGGGGACTGGGACATCGCGCGACGGCGTTGGGCAGGAGAACACCAGACCCAGTCGATGGGACGTGACCGTACGCGCCAATGAGAACCTTGATGTTGCCCACTTTACCTATTGAAATTATGGCATACTACTAATGTGGATCTTCATGTTCACAAAATGCCACATCATCAGATGGTAATTATTAGAGAGTGCAAACTCGCATGACAGTCTATAATAAAACAAATAAAGGACAAATTATAAATATCTGGCATAAGCTTTCACCAATCTCAACTTCATGAGTCCGTGTATTGGAGGAATCCCCATGCCCATCAAGCAGCCATGTGCTACTCTGTCTTGATAGACTTTGGTCGGCGAGGCTTCTACACCATTGACAAAATAACTAGGATAATTGGAATGACAGTACAAGTGCAGTACATGCCACTGTAGGCCGAGTATGCGCCTGATAGTGTCATCACCTGCACCAAGAACAGCCATAGAAAACACAGTCAACAGAGGCAGATGCAAAGAACATAGGGTGGGCAGCAAACCGGTAGAGGCACAGAGCCCTAGAGTGAAATGTACGACCACTGCAGCAAGTTTTTTTTTACAAAATTGATGGGAAAAAAAATCTAGTAAAACATGCACACATACACAGAAGGCGTTGGCCATGTAGCTGCAGACGAAAATGCCATAGAGGGTGTGAAGTAGTGTAACAATGCGGTGCGTGATGGTGCCCTCGGGGACGCCAGCAGTGATCTGGTAAATGGGTGCATGAGAGGGAAGAGAAACGAAGGGAAGGATAAGAGGGATAGATTCGAAATACGTGTGTACGCGCGCAAGTTTGCAGGAACTGATGAGCCCAAGTAAGAGGTTATTATCCCATGAAGGAGGAATGGGAACAACAATGGGTATGAGACAAGGGTTTGTGATAGGAGTAGTAGAGGGAAGGGGAATGGGAGTCTGTATGGAAATGGAAATGGGGGCTTGGAAGGGGGAACAGAAATGAGGCGGTCGTACAAGAATGAAATGGAAACTTAATGAGAAGGTAAGAAAGAATGGTCACACGGGCGAGAGGTTGTGGGCTTGTAATGGTCTACATTTTCAGTTTATGAAACACTCAAAGATCCTTCTTGTACATGGCTGTTGTGGGGTGTGTGCACACCTTTAGAGCTGGCAACAACATGCGCCCAGTTGGCAAAGAAGATGAAGTCGCCCCAATCCAATCCCTGCAGGCAACACAGAGTATGGTGCTGGAAACAGAGCATACAGTTGGGCATTTCTGAGGAGGAATCCACAGCTTTGAAATCAACGAACGACTGGAGGCAGAGAATAACAGGCGACAGGAGAGAACGAGGTAGGGGTGATGTTTGTGAGGGGCTAGGGGAGAAGCACATGGGAGAGAGAAGCATGGGATGCAGTAAGGAAGAATGCGTATGGGAAGGAGAAAGGAAGAACTCGTATGGGATGGAGTAAGGAAGAACGTGTATGGGCGGGCATAAGGAGAACGCACATGGTTTGGGGCAAGGGAGCATGCGACTCACGTGGGAGACGGCAAGGGAACATGAGACAGCTAGGAAAGGGGAAAGGAGAGCTCACGTGGGAGACGGCGCTGACGAGCATGGTGGCGAGCATAGTGGCGAGCATGGTGGCGAGCATGGCGGCAAGCATGGTGGCGAGCATGGTGGCGTGCATGGTGGCGAGCATGGTGGCGAGCATGGTGGCGAGCATGGTGGCGTGCATGGTGGCGAGCATGGTGGCGAGCATGGTGGAAGAACGTGGCCTTCCTGCCAGGCTGCACCATGCGGTCGTGCGCGTCTGTGCGGGGAACAAGAGGGGCATGGGTGGGCAGGGGTGGGCAGGGGTGGGCAGGGGTGGGCAGGGAGTTACAGGGGAGCAGCAGACAAGCCTGAAGGTTGAAGCGTGAAGCATGGTGTATGGATGGGAATATGCCTTCCTGCCGGGCAGCACCATGCGGTCATGCACGCCTGAGCATGGCTGAGGGGCCTGACAGAAGCTGAAATAGAGAGAGCACAATCCCTTGGATTGTGGGACGAGTGGGGTGCCACGAGGAGACGATTAGAACGCAGGCAGGACATGCACGCAGGAGAAAGAAAGGGAATTGCGCTAGGCTCGAAGTCTCAATAGGCCCTAGACGGTTCAGAGAGGTTCAAAGAGGCGGAGGGTGGTTCAGAAAGACCCACAGCCTCACAGAGTGCGGTGCAGTGCGGCGGTGACTCACAGAGCCTGAGCCAGAGGCCGTAGGAGATGTTCCACGTGGTGGCGAAGTCGAGTTCAAAGGGTTGCAGAGAGGCGCAGAGCGGTTAAGAGAGACCCACAGAGTAGGCAGTGCGGCGTGCACTCACAGAGCCCGAGTTAGAGGCCGTAGGAGATGTTCCACGTGGTGGCGAAGTCGAGGCAGCTCTTGGGGAACTCAAACCCCAGAATGTCCACATTCCGCACCCGGTTCCTTAGCGCCTTCCCCTCCCCTGCTGGCACCGCACGCATCTTTTCGTCCTCCTCCTTCCCCTGGAAGAGCGTCGGCAAGCGATGCAAGAGCGTCGGCAAGCGATGCAAGAGCGTCGGCAAGCGATGCAAGAGCGTCGGCAAGCGATGCAAGAGCGTCGGCAAGCGATGCAAGAGCGTCGGCAAGCGATGCAAGAGCGTCGGCAAGCGATGCAAGAGCGTCGGCAAGCGATGCAAGAGCGTCGGCAAGCGATGCAAGAGCGTCGGCAAGCGATGCAAGAGCGTCGGCAAGCGATGCAAGAGCGTCGGCAAGCGATGCAAGAGCGTCGGCAAGCGATGCAAGAGCGTCGGCAAGCGATGCAAGAGCGTCGGCAAGCGATGCAAGAGCGTCGGCAAGCGATGCAAGAGCGTCGGCAAGCGATGCAAGAGCGTCGGCAAGCGATGCAAGAGCATCTTATCCCAGCTTTGGTGAGCATGCACTTACAGAAAAAGGGGAAAAAAACAAACACAAATGCGTGCACGTAGTACAGATACCATCAAGAACAATCGCTGCCCATGGGGCTCGAACCCACGACCACAAGGTTAAGAGCCTTGCGCTCTACCAACTGAGCTAGGGCGGCTGTAAACTGGGAAATGATCACAATTAAGGGTGCATGACAAAACGCGCTCACGTTCGGCTGGCAGCATCCGATCAACAGCGGCTTCCTGAAGGCGAAGGTTGATATGCCGGAGGGGATAGAGGTGCTTCTTAAGGGTGTACCTGCGGAGATCACGCCGGCAATTGTGTTCGGGTCGTTGGTGGTTCACAAGCTGCAGAAGCGTGGGAAGTTGGCGTTTCTGCAAGGCGCGGGCTTCCACCGTGTGATGGATCCAGTCACCGGTCTTGGCACGGACAAGATCCGTGGTGTGGTAGCTCCTCATCCGGGGGATACGTATCGCTGGCGCCATGTGGTGGAAGACCCGCTTACTGACAAGAAGTACCTCGTGCACTTTCCGTCACTGTCCTGCTGCTTCTGCCAGGGACAGCACATGGATAAGTTGCACGATGAGTATGTCACTGAGTGGCAGAACAGCATCATCAAATGGAACTTGTCGTTAGGCAGGGTCCATGCGCTTAACGGTAATGGGGGTGGGGTCTTGCCGGCACGAGGGAGTGTGCTCTGCAGTGTCTTTGTCACCTTAACATTTGCTGACAGAGGTGTGATGCGTGTGCTCTGCAGTGGCCTCCCTCCAGGCGGCAGGGGTGGTCAGGAGGATTCTGCGGGACCCGGCGCTGGTGTTGATCTCGACCGGTTCCAGTGCGGAGGAGTGGCTATGCGTCCAGGAGTGCTGCGACCATGCTCACGGGGAGACCTTCGAGCAAGCGGACACGCACATCAGCTCCTTCCGTCATGCATCTGCGGTGGGAGCGGCAGGGGTGGCAACTCGTGTCAGAATCCCAACCACTAGACCATTGGGATAAAAGGGCTTGTTAAGTAGCGGGTCAGTGCGCCCATAACCCCCCAGACCAACATGCCTGTAACCCATCCCTAGGATCAATCGGGGATCACCAGTGGACCTCTGACACCCCCCCGCACTGGGATGCCCGAGTGCACACACTGGGATTCGAACCCGAGACCTTCGCTTTGATACCATGTCAGAATCCCAACCACTAGACCATTGGGATAAAAGGGCTTGTTAAGTAGCGGGTCAGTGCGCCCATAACCCCCCAGGCCAACATGCCTGTAACCCATCCCTAGGATCAATCGGGGATCACCAGTGGACCTCTGACAACTCGTGCAAGCAAAGCAAAGCAGAACCTGCCCGAGGTGAAGAAGGTGTTGGGCATCCGTGCGGAGGGGGCAAAGGCGAAGTGAAACCAAGGTAGGAAGAGAATGGAGTAGTCGTAGTGTCCCGCGTGACATGTGATGGTGCATCTGCTGTAATGTCATGGAGTGTAAACGTGGTGATTTCATCTGGCAACAGCAACCTTACCTTTGGCCCGTGGATGCTTTGGAGCCTCTCGCAGGTTCCACATGGGTAAACACACCACCCTCTCATTCAAAGTGTTAAATGTTAACGGACTCGGCTGCTTTCAGAAACAGTTTGACGCACGGGAATGGATGAAGCAGGCAGCTCAAATCATCATCCTGGCGGACACAATATTACCTGAGGATCACAATTTCTGGACCTACATACAAGCTAGTTCGGTGGTCGCGGTCTCACCTGCTGCTAGAGCAGGGGGGGTGGCGATTATCTCTCTCAGCAACGAAGTGACATTCGCTGACCCGGTCAAAGATAGCTCTGGCCGTCTGGTGCGGATGACAGTTTCGTGGAGAGGTATAACAGCAGTAGTAGTAGTGGCTTACTTCCCTTCGAACCCAACGGCGAGGGGGCCTTTCTTTAGAGATGTGCTTCAGCCGTTTGTCGCGACGATCCCAAGCGGAAGCAATCTGGTGCTGGCGGGAGACCTGAATGTGATAGAGGACCCATCGTTAGATAAGACGTCAGGAATTGGATCAAGGGGAGAAAATGACAGGCTTATGGCGATCTGCAGCAAGTTTGATGTCAGAGACGCCTTCAGGGCAATCCATCCGTACCTGAGGGAGTACACCTTCTTCGCAGCGGCAGTGCAGGAGAGTAAGCGAATCGATCGCATCCTGGTTTCGCAGTCGCTCCTGCACTCCATCCACGAGGTCCGGCATGTGGGACTTGTCAAGAGGTTCACGCACCACTGGTCCGCAGTTCATATGAAGCTCAGCGCGGGTGGAGACGGAGAGGCGGGTCCGGGTTTGTGGAGACTCCCGGCCTCGCAAGTGTCGCGCCCTGGTGTGCAGAAGCGGGTTTCGCTGATAGTGCGGAGGCATGAGGAGAGAGGCGGAGATCTGGAAGCTCTGACGAACTCCCTAAAAGTCGGGCTCAAGGCGTACACAGTGGAGGAACGGAAGAGGGTGGCAGCCACGACGGCACATTTGGAGCGAGAGGTTGGGGAGTTGAGACAAAGAGTGATGAGCAGGCCCTGGTGTTCAAGGGCTAAGGCAAAGTTGGTGAAGTGCGAGACTAAGCTCAAGGCGTATGAGGACGGGAGACGCCGGAAAATGCAGGAGCAAGCGGGAATCAAAGTGGAAATGAACGGGGAGGCTCCTACCGGTTTCCTGTCAGGGAAGATCAAGGCGAGGAAGGAGAAGACGAGGCTGGAGAAGGTGGTCCTTCAGGGGCGGCAATACGCCGGCGCTAAGGAAGCTCTTCAAGTGGCGTCGGTGTTCTATGCTGAGCTGTTCGCATCGCGGACCGAACCGAGGGTCTTGCCGCCGGACTTCAGGATGGATAGGTGCTTCTCACCGGAGGACGCGGCAATGTTGAGTGCACCTTGGGAGGAAGTGGAGGTCAAGCGCGCGCTGTCGGAAATGGCGTCTGGCAAGACGCCCGGGAGGGACGGGCTCCCGACTCGGTATCCAGAGACTACTTGGTTGAGGTCCTAAGGAGAATGGGCTTCCCGGAGGTGTACGTGAAGTGGGTTGAGGGGCTGCATCATGGTGCAGCGACACGCATCTGCAATGACGGGTGGCTGGGGGACGAGGTACCGGTGCAAACCGGAGTGAGGCAGGGATGCCCCCTCGCGCCGTATCTTTTCCTCTGCGCGGTGGAGCCTCTCTGCCAGGAAGCTCAGAGGCGGCGACTAGGGGTGGACATCACTGGTGCGGGGAAGCTGACTTACCTGGGGTATGCAGACGATATTACCTTTTTTCTGGAAGGCGGGCGCAGCTGGACATGGCGGAGGTGTTGCTCCGTGACTTGGAGAAGATGTTGGGTTTGGCGGCGAAATGCGACAAAACCGTGGTAATGCCGCTGGGGAAGCAACGAGATGAGACGTCGCCGGTGGCCTCTCCCTTCAAGTGGGCGGCACCGGATGAACCCGAGCGCCTGCTGGGTGTATGGATCACATCGGGAGGGGACGCGAGGCCTTCCTGGCGGAGAGCGGTGAGTAGAATGGAGGCGGAGCTCAAGAAATGGGAGGAGAAATACCTTACCACAACGGCGCAGGTGGCAGTAATCAATGCCTACGGCATGCCTATTGCGCAATTCCAAGCGCAGGCGTACCCGCCCCCAGACACGATATGGGAGGAGCTTTGCCGGCACTGCCATGCTTTTGCGTCTGGGGGGAGGGCGAGCGCAGGGCCAGGCTTTATCCTTTGGAGCGCGGAGCTCATGCAGATGAGGAGAGGTGAAGGCGGGCTGGGGGTGATTAACCTCCGGAATCGGCCGGATGCGGAGGCTCTCCAGTCGGCGGGCGAACTGCTGACGGTGGAGTCTTCCCAGAGGAGAGCGATGGCTGAGAAGGCGCCGTGCTTCCCCCTCGGCTACGCCTCGTTCTACGCACACGAGGCCTTGCCGAAGGCATGGGGCGGCGGAAGCGAGCGCTGGAAGGAGATTGCGGCTGTGGTGATGGCATCCCCGATCGCCCGGGACCTGCCAAGCAGGCACAGATGGGACGTGGAGAAGGAGCACGTTTTTTACAACCGGCACATCCTTCGCGGCGGAAGCTGCCCTTTCGGGAGAAGGAAGGGGGACGAGTGCCTGAGGAATATCACGGTGGGAGACTTACTCATGAAATGGGTGGCCGGCACCCGCAGCCCCAAGTCACTGGTGCAGCTGGAGCGCCTGCTGGGGAGCAAGCAGGCAGCGGAGCTGGCGGCAGAAGTCTTTGAGGCGATACCGGTGGAATGGAAAGCCAGGATCCTGAAAAGCCTCAGCGCGGAGGAGATCGGGGAGGCGACCAGGGTGGTCCGCACGATCAACCGCGGGGAGCAGCTATGGCAGGTCACTGAGGTGTTTGGGAGCAGGTCACGGAGGTGTTTGGGAGCAGGTCACGGAGGTGTTTGGGAGCAGGTCACGGAGGTGTTTGGGAGCAGGTCACGGAGGTGTTTGGGAGCAGGTCACGGAGCATGGTGAAGCGCGCGGAGATGCGGCGGCGGGAGGATGGAGCATGGTGAAGCGCGCGGAGATGCGGCGGCGGGAGGATGGAGCATGGTGAAGCGCGCGGAGATGCGGCGGCGGGAGGATGGAGCATGGTGAAGCGCGCGGAGATGCGGCGGCGGGAGGATGGAGCATGGTGAAGCGCGCGGAGATGCGGCGGCGGGAGGATGGAGCATGGTGAAGCGCGCGGAGATGCGGCGGCGGGAGGATGGAGCATGGTGAAGCGCGCGGAGATGCGGCGGCGGGAGGATGGAGCATGGTGAAGCGCGCGGAGATGCGGCGGCGGGAGGATGGAGCATGGTGAAGCGCGCGGAGATGCGGCGGCGGGAGGATGGAGCATGGTGAAGCGCGCGGAGATGCGGCGGCGGGAGGATGGAGCATGGTGAAGCGCGCGGAGATGCGGCGGCGGGAGGATGGAGCATGGTGAAGCGCGCGGAGATGCGGCGGCGGGAGGATGGAGCATGGTGAAGCGCGCGGAGATGCGGCGGCGGGAGGATGGAGCATGGTGAAGCGCGCGGAGATGCGGCGGCGGGAGGATGGAGCATGGTGAAGCGCGCGGAGATGCGGCGGCGGGAGGATGGAGCATGGTGAAGCGCGCGGAGATGCGGCGGCGGGAGGATGGAGCATGGTGAAGCGCGCGGAGATGCGGCGGCGGGAGGATGGAGCATGGTGAAGCGCGCGGAGATGCGGCGGCGGGAGGATGGAGCATGGTGAAGCGCGCGGAGATGCGGCGGCGGGAGGATGGAGCATGGTGAAGCGCGCGGAGATGCGGCGGCGGGAGGATGGAGCATGGTGAAGCGCGCGGAGATGCGGCGGCGGGAGGATGGAGCATGGTGAAGCGCGCGGAGATGCGGCGGCGGGAGGATGGAGCATGGTGAAGCGCGCGGAGATGCGGCGGCGGGAGGATGGAGCATGGTGAAGCGCGCGGAGATGCGGCGGCGGGAGGATGGAGCATGGTGAAGCGCGCGGAGATGCGGCGGCGGGAGGATGGAGCATGGTGAAGCGCGCGGAGATGCGGCGGCGGGAGGATGGAGCATGGTGAAGCGCGCGGAGATGCGGCGGCGGGAGGATGGAGCATGGTGAAGCGCGCGGAGATGCGGCGGCGGGAGGATGGAGCATGGTGAAGCGCGCGGAGATGCGGCGGCGGGAGGATGGAGCATGGTGAAGCGCGCGGAGATGCGGCGGCGGGAGGATGGAGCATGGTGAAGCGCGCGGAGATGCGGCGGCGGGAGGATGGAGCATGGTGAAGCGCGCGGAGATGCGGCGGCGGGAGGATGGAGCATGGTGAAGCGCGCGGAGATGCGGCGGCGGGAGGATGGAGCATGGTGAAGCGCGCGGAGATGCGGCGGCGGGAGGATGGAGCATGGTGAAGCGCGCGGAGATGCGGCGGCGGGAGGATGGAGCATGGTGAAGCGCGCGGAGATGCGGCGGCGGGAGGATGGAGCATGGTGAAGCGCGCGGAGATGCGGCGGCGGGAGGATGGAGCATGGTGAAGCGCGCGGAGATGCGGCGGCGGGAGGATGGAGCATGGTGAAGCGCGCGGAGATGCGGCGGCGGGAGGATGGAGCATGGTGAAGCGCGCGGAGATGCGGCGGCGGGAGGATGGAGCATGGTGAAGCGCGCGGAGATGCGGCGGCGGGAGGATGGAGCATGGTGAAGCGCGCGGAGATGCGGCGGCGGGAGGATGGAGCATGGTGAAGCGCGCGGAGATGCGGCGGCGGGAGGATGGAGCATGGTGAAGCGCGCGGAGATGCGGCGGCGGGAGGATGGAGCATGGTGAAGCGCGCGGAGATGCGGCGGCGGGAGGATGGAGCATGGTGAAGCGCGCGGAGATGCGGCGGCGGGAGGATGGAGCATGGTGAAGCGCGCGGAGATGCGGCGGCGGGAGGATGGAGCATGGTGAAGCGCGCGGAGATGCGGCGGCGGGAGGATGGAGCATGGTGAAGCGCGCGGAGATGCGGCGGCGGGAGGATGGAGCATGGTGAAGCGCGCGGAGATGCGGCGGCGGGAGGATGGAGCATGGTGAAGCGCGCGGAGATGCGGCGGCGGGAGGATGGAGCATGGTGAAGCGCGCGGAGATGCGGCGGCGGGAGGATGGAGCATGGTGAAGCGCGCGGAGATGCGGCGGCGGGAGGATGGAGCATGGTGAAGCGCGCGGAGATGCGGCGGCGGGAGGATGGAGCATGGTGAAGCGCGCGGAGATGCGGCGGCGGGAGGATGGAGCATGGTGAAGCGCGCGGAGATGCGGCGGCGGGAGGATGGAGCATGGTGAAGCGCGCGGAGATGCGGCGGCGGGAGGATGGAGCATGGTGAAGCGCGCGGAGATGCGGCGGCGGGAGGATGGAGCATGGTGAAGCGCGCGGAGATGCGGCGGCGGGAGGATGGAGCATGGTGAAGCGCGCGGAGATGCGGCGGCGGGAGGATGGAGCATGGTGAAGCGCGCGGAGATGCGGCGGCGGGAGGATGGAGCATGGTGAAGCGCGCGGAGATGCGGCGGCGGGAGGATGGAGCATGGTGAAGCGCGCGGAGATGCGGCGGCGGGAGGATGGAGCATGGTGAAGCGCGCGGAGATGCGGCGGCGGGAGGATGGAGCATGGTGAAGCGCGCGGAGATGCGGCGGCGGGAGGATGGAGCATGGTGAAGCGCGCGGAGATGCGGCGGCGGGAGGATGGAGCATGGTGAAGCGCGCGGAGATGCGGCGGCGGGAGGATGGAGCATGGTGAAGCGCGCGGAGATGCGGCGGCGGGAGGATGGAGCATGGTGAAGCGCGCGGAGATGCGGCGGCGGGAGGATGGAGCATGGTGAAGCGCGCGGAGATGCGGCGGCGGGAGGATGGAGCATGGTGAAGCGCGCGGAGATGCGGCGGCGGGAGGATGGAGCATGGTGAAGCGCGCGGAGATGCGGCGGCGGGAGGATGGAGCATGGTGAAGCGCGCGGAGATGCGGCGGCGGGAGGATGGAGCATGGTGAAGCGCGCGGAGATGCGGCGGCGGGAGGATGGAGCATGGTGAAGCGCGCGGAGATGCGGCGGCGGGAGGATGGAGCATGGTGAAGCGCGCGGAGATGCGGCGGCGGGAGGATGGAGCATGGTGAAGCGCGCGGAGATGCGGCGGCGGGAGGATGGAGCATGGTGAAGCGCGCGGAGATGCGGCGGCGGGAGGATGGAGCATGGTGAAGCGCGCGGAGATGCGGCGGCGGGAGGATGGAGCATGGTGAAGCGCGCGGAGATGCGGCGGCGGGAGGATGGAGCATGGTGAAGCGCGCGGAGATGCGGCGGCGGGAGGATGGAGCATGGTGAAGCGCGCGGAGATGCGGCGGCGGGAGGATGGAGCATGGTGAAGCGCGCGGAGATGCGGCGGCGGGAGGATGGAGCATGGTGAAGCGCGCGGAGATGCGGCGGCGGGAGGATGGAGCATGGTGAAGCGCGCGGAGATGCGGCGGCGGGAGGATGGAGCATGGTGAAGCGCGCGGAGATGCGGCGGCGGGAGGATGGAGCATGGTGAAGCGCGCGGAGATGCGGCGGCGGGAGGATGGAGCATGGTGAAGCGCGCGGAGATGCGGCGGCGGGAGGATGGAGCATGGTGAAGCGCGCGGAGATGCGGCGGCGGGAGGATGGAGCATGGTGAAGCGCGCGGAGATGCGGCGGCGGGAGGATGGAGCATGGAGGTACGTGGCGGAGGGGGCGAGAACGTTGCTGCTCTCGGCGTCTGAGGTTGCACTGTTGGCAATGACGGGAGAGAGGGTGGCGGGGGAGCTGGGCGACCCTCGTGTCAGGCTCATGGGAACGGACCTGTGTGTGGGGGACAGCGTCGCCTCGCTGAAGCAGCTGAGAGTAGAGCTAGAGGAGGAGCAGGGCCAACCGGGGCAACACTCCAGGATGGAGAAGTGGGAGACATGTTGGGGGAAGCGGATAATCTGGCGAAGGGTAATTGCGCACAGGGACTCACACGTGGTTCCAGAGAAAGCGCGGGACGTCCTGCTACGCGCACATTGCTCTAACCTTCAAGTGGGGGATGGTTTGCGCTTCCTGGGGGAGTGGGTAAAATGTCGGCACTGTGGTGAAGCGGAAACGGTGGATCACGCGCTGTTTTCCTACCGCGCCATCCAGCCAGTGGCGCATGCGCTGATCAGAGCCATCCGTTGGCTCAATCCGTCAAGAAGGATAAAGACGCTTGGTGACCTTTTGTTCCAGCGGGGGGGCACGTCATCCGGCTTCCCGGAGCTAACGGCATCAGCGGTTGCGTTCCACCAGATCTGGGTGGTGTCATGTGGTCTTCAGGGGGAAGAAGTTTCGGTGTGGGAAGGTGATGTGGAGGATTTCCATATCTTGGATATGGTGCGGGGGCACTTGGGGATCTATTGAAGAAGTTTCGGTGCGGGAAGGTGATGCGGAGGATCGTGACGGCTTTCTGCTTCCATGCGCGAACCTACGAGGGCATCAAGCGGAGGAAGGCTTGGGCGAAGAAACGGCACGTGGCCAAAAAACACCTGGCGAAGGATGAGATCACAGTGTTGGAGAATGTCAGCACACGATTGGGCAACAGACTGGTGTGGCGGGATGATTTTCTGTCCATCTGGACGGACCGAAGAGTTAGATTCAGACCTCCGTAGGCTTCTCCTGGGGGTGACTCATGACACTGTGTGCATCTGTCCCCCCTCACGTAACAGTTACGACTGTGACCTTTTTGCTGTATCTCTGATATAGTGGAATGCCTTCTATTAAAAAAAAACAATTCAGGTTGCATTTAGGTTGCTCCCTGCCTTGCCATCCCCATGCCCTGCCATGCCATTTCCCCATGCCCTTCCGCCATTCCCCCATGCCCTGCCATGCCATTCCCTTCCCCCATGCCCTGCCATGCCATTCCCTTCCCCCATGCCCTGCCATGCCATTCCCTTCCCCCATGCCCTGCCATGCCGCCATGCCATTCCCCCATGCCCTGCCATGCCATTCCCTTCCCCCATGCCCTGCCATGCCATTCCCTCCCCCCATGCCCTGCCATGCCATTCCCTCCCCCCATGCCCTGCCATGCCATTCCCTCCCCCCATGCCCTGCCATGCCATTCCCCCATGCCCTGCCATGCCATTCCCCCATGCCCTGCCATGCCACTTCCCCATGCCCTGCCATGCCACTTCCCCATGCCCTGCCATGCCATTCCCCCATGCCCTGCCATGCCACTTCCCCATGCCCTGCCCTGCCATTCCCCCATATCTTCCCCCATGCCCTGCTTGTCCCGATCTGCTAAGGGCGGGTCCAGCGCGTTCGTTTTCAGTTCATCCATTGTGTCACACGATGATTCCAGACGGTGCACAGCGGTTCTCAAGCTTCACCGTTTTGCACCGTGACGCAACAAGAGTGACCGCAGAAAACGAAAGGAGGATGTACGCACCAGATCCGCCCAAAACCCACAGAGTTCCCCAAAACTTAAAAATGCTTCTTTGACATTTCTTCGACATGCGCCGCCCGTGGGGCTCGAACCCACGACCACAAGGTTAAGAGCCTTGCGCTCTACCAACTGAGCTAGGGCGGCTACGTTTTAAATCGTAAACTTAAATAATAGATCTCTTCCAATCATCCATTCCTTCCATTCCATCATACCCACCCATGCACATCCCATCACGCACCGTCCCCTTCTCGCATTGTTATGGCTAGTGAGTGGCAAACCACTGAAAATGGGCTAGGGAAGAATAACTGCTGGTAGCACAGGCGGAGAAGTAAAGATAAAAGAAGCACACACTGTGGTTCAGTCATTAGGGGTCAGGAGCTGCTGCTGACAGCACTCCAGAAGCAGTAGAGCAAGCGCAGGTTAAACACATGTGAGTGGATGTGAGGGCAGATTCAAGATTGGTTGTGAAGGCAGAAGCCTATCGTGGTAACACATGGGAGGAAAATAAGCAGGCTGTGAGCATACACGAAAGAAATCCCGTGAGGTAGAGGAAGTAAGGTAAATAACTGATTTACGGTATCGCACGGAGAGGCTTAGCACAGAAGATTACATCGTTTCTGGTAGCCCAATTCCCTAAAGTGATAGAAATTTTACGTGAGCTTGGAAATTTTTCATTTATGTGTTGAAGTACTTACAAACGGGTTGACAGTGGCCAGGCTTTGTTGGTAATTGCGGCTAGATTTATGCTTCGAATCCGTCAATATCACTCCTGGAGTCCCATAACATGTCACTCTCCAGCAGCAGTAGGGGAAAGGAAGGGGAAGAGGAAGAAAGCTGCATTGGGTTGGCACCCGGAAAGTGGGGGATGCAGAATGTTCCTTTTGTTCTAAGTGTCTCAAACCCTAAACCCTATGTGTCTCAAGCTCTGTGCTGTGGAGCTATGATGGATTATATGCGTTTAGCGTATATACGCGTGTCGTATATACGCTAGTGTATATACGCTAAACGCGAGAGGGGTCTGATCCAGGATACGCTTTTCTAGGCAGCTAAAAATCTTTCCCGGGCAGGGAAAAAAAAACTTCCGGGAGTGCAGCAAGGGGGGGTTCTGGTGGGATGTGTTTCTGCAGAAAATTTTCCCACATACCAAAATTTCCACACGGCCATACATAGAACATCAACGTGCCTCGCTACTACATAGTCTACTCTACCTTTCACCACCATTTACCCCCTTCTTGACCCGGGTTCCCTTTCCAGCCACGACAGACACTTGACGTGCAATCTGAGTTCACAGAGTTGCTCGTCGTGCAATTCCGCTGCTTTTGAGCTATTCGAAAAATTTTGGGTAGGCGGGCAGCCCCGAAAAAAACCTGGGCTGCGTATAGCGTTTTCGCTAGCGTTTCGCGTTTAGCGTGTACACGCTAGCATACAAACGCTAAACGCTTAAGCTCCAAAGAGTATAATCCATCATAGCTGTGGAGGTGAAAGTACTAGAGGAGGCTGGGTGCACACAATGAGAGTTCGATTACCAGAGCGTGACACTGCTGTATTTGACATGACATGCCATAATCCTGGCATGCCATCACCCGCTCATCGCGAGACTCCCTCATGCCATGCCGCTCCCCCATGCCATGCCATTTCCCCATGCCCTGCCATTTCCCCATGCCCTGCCATTTCCCCATGCCATTACCCCATGCCATGCCATTTCCCCAAGCCATTACCCCATGCCATGACATGCCACTCCCCTACGCCATACCATGCCATTTCCCCACGCCATGCCATGCCATACCATTCCTCCATGCCATGCCATGCCACTCCCACGTGCCATACCCATGCCACTCCCACGTGCCATACCATGCCATTCCCCCACATCATTCCCCCATGCCGTGCCATGCCAGGGCATTTCCCGTGCCATGCAATGCCAGGGCATTTCCCGTGCCATGCAATGCCATTTTCCGTGCCATGCGATGCCATTTCCCGTGGCAAGCCATTCCCTCGTGCCATGCCAATCCCTCGTGCCAAGCCAATCCCTTGTGCCATGCCATTCCCTCGTGCCATGCCATGCCATATGTGCACCTGCTTGTCCGAATCTTGCACGCAATAGCACCACAAATTGCCAAAACAATCGCCTCCGCCATACACATCCCCTCACTTGTCAAGGCTAGTGAATGGCAAACCACTGATGACAAGGCTGGGGAGAATCACTGCTGGTGGCACAGATGGAGAAGTGGATACACAAGAAACACACACTGCGGCTCAGACATAAGGGGGTAGGGGCTGCTGCTGACAGCACTCCGGAGACAGCGGAGTAAGCGCAGACAAAAAACATGTGAGCGCATGTGAGAGGAGATGCAAGATCGGTTGTGAGAGCGGAAGCTTTTCGAGGTAAAGCATCGATGGAGTATGATCAGGCTGGGAGCATACACGAAGGGGAGAGAATTTTTGTGAGGCAGGGGAAGAATCACTGCTGGTAGCACAGACGGAGAAGATAAATGCAGCACACACTGTGGTTCAGTCATAAGGGGTCAGGAGCTTCTGCTGACAGCACTCCAGAAACAGTAGAGCAAGCGCAGGTTAAACACATGTGAGCAGATGTGAGGGCAGATGCACGATTGGTTGTGAGGGCAGAAGCCTTGTCGTGGTAACACATAGGAGGAAAATAAGCAGGCTGAGAGCATACACGAAAGAAATCCTGTGAGGTAGAGGATAAATAACTGATTTACGGTATCGCACAGAGAGGCATAGGCACAGAAGATTTCAGTGTTTCTGATAGCCCAAGTCCGTAAAGTGATAGAAAAATTATGTGACCTTGGAAATTTTTCATCTATGTGCTAAAGCTGGGTACTTACAAACGGGTTGACTGTGGCCAGGCTTTGTTGGTAATTGCGGCAAGAGTTATGCTTCGAACCCGTCAAGATCACTGCTAGAGTCCCATATCATCATGTCACTCTGCAGCAGCAGTTGGGGAAAGGAGGGGGGCGATTGTTGCACTTGGATGGCAGCACTGACAAAGTGCACACGACGAGCAGGTATTTCAGGTAATTAGAGGGAAGTGGAAGATAGGTGAATTTGGTTGGCACATGATCGGCCGTGCACTGATAGCGGGTGGCCCTGTGTATCGCTGTCATAGAGGGCACAGAGGCAGACACATGGAAAGGGGGGTGATGAAGGATGCTCCTTTTGTTCTGTAATGTCATGCCCGTATCCTACCATAACCCTGCCAGGCATCATCCTGCCATGTCATCATCCTGCCATGTCATCATCCTACCATCATCATGCCATGTCATCATCCGCTCATCTTGTGACTCCCTCATGCCATGCCATGCCACTCCCCTATGCCATACCATGCCACTCCCCTACGCCATACCATGCCACTCCCCTACGCCATACCATGCCACTCCCCTACGCCATACCATGCCATTCCCCCATGCCATGCCATGCCATGCCACTCCCACGTGCCATGTCATGCCATTCCAACATGTCATTCCCCCATGCCGTGCCATTTCCGTGCCATGTCATGCCATTCCAACATGTCATTCCCCCATGCCGTGCCATGTCCGTGCCATGCAATACCATTTCTCATGCCATGCAGTACTATTTTCCGTGACATGCAATGCTATTCCCTCGTGCCATGCCATTCCATATGTGCACCAGCTTGTCCATGTGCAGGATCACAGAGATAAAACCTCATTTCCGCCGTCTTGCATGCAATATGACCACATGCCAAAGAAAAAATCATTTCCGCCGTCTTGCATGCAATATGACCACATGCCAAAGAAAAAATCATTTCCGCCGTCTTGCATGCAATATGACCACATGCCTAAGCAAAAATCATTTCTGCCATCTTGCATGCAATATGACCACATGCCAAAGCAAAAATCATTTCCTACGTCTTGCATTCAATGTGACCACGTGCCAAAGCATGACTTTAATTTCTCTGATGTGGCATATGGCCATACTGCATGTGCCATACGCCTTGTAACAAGGCGACGTAAGATTAGCCCGCCGCCCGTGGGGCTCGAACCCACGACCACAAGGTTAAGAGCCTTGCGCTCTACCAACTGAGCTAAGGCGGCTATGGGTTAAGAATGTGCGGTACTTACCTGCCCGGGTCTCGCCCACACCTCAGCCATACCATTTCCTTTTCTGATTTTCAGGGCTAGTGAATGGCAAACAACTGATGATGAGGCTGGGGAAGAATAGCTGCTGGTAGCACAGAAAAAGAACACAGATGGAGAACAGAGACAAAGGAAGCACACACTGTGGTTCAGACACGAGGGGGCAGAAACTGCTGACAACACTCCGGAGGTAGTGGAGTAAGCACAGATAAAAGCATGTGAACAGATGAGAAAGCAGATGCAAGATCGGTTGTGAGAGCAGAAGCCTTATCTTGGTAAAAAGGAAAATGATTAGACCGGAGGCAGGGGTATCAAGGCGAGAAACTGATGTGAGGTGTAGGCGCACGGCAAAACCAGATTCGAACCGTCGGCGCATGCATAACAGCGTTTCCAATAGCCGAAGTCCCTATTACGGTAGAGCGTTCTGCTAGACGTTACAGCGGTAATCGATCCGTCAAGGACACTGCTTGAGTCCCATATCATGTCACCCTGCAACTAAGGGGTGGGGGGAAGGAGGAGGGGATGTGGGCAAGTCGAGAGGGCAATAAAACAGTTCTAGGATGGGAGAATGGCAGAAAAGCCTCCACATAACTCATTGAAGCAGTGCGAGATGGGTCATTTACATGGAAGAAAGTTGCTGCTGCGTACGGTTTCCGTTTATCCAACACCTGTTAGGTTGGAAACGTCGCTTATGACGATGCCCAGCGATTAGAGAGACAAGAAGTAATCAGTCAGTCAAGCGTGGTACGAAAAGCGAGACCAGATGCAATCAGTCAGTCAAGCATACTTCGAAAAGTGAGTAGAAATACATGCAGGAAAGGGCAGCGCGTACCTGCGGAAAGGGTAGCGCGTACCTGCGGAAAGGGTAGCGCGTACCTGCGGAATAGGGCAGCGCGTAGCTGCGGAATAGGGCAGCGCGGATCATGGCGTTAACTAGAGGCGTTACATGTATTGATTCGCGTACGGTTGGCAATTTCGTTGCCGTTTCGTTCGGTGCGAGCGTGGAAGGCGCCACGAGAATGCTGGAGGAGCTGCCGACGCGAAGGCTATTCCAGTCCATCCTTTCAAGCTTTGCGAAGTCGTCCGAACTAAGAACAAAACGTCTGACGGTAGTGGCGGAATTGATACGCGAGCGCAGTGTGGAGGCTGGGATGCAGTGCGGACACGTAAGACGGAAAGCAACGAATATGTGTGACGGAACAAGCGGCTAGCGTAACCAAACATACAACGCAGCGGCGATTAGCATGCGATGCAACAGGAGATTAGCATGCGACGCAACAGGAGATTAGCATGCGACGCAACAGGAGATTAGCATGCAACGCAACAGGAGATTAGCATGCGACGCAACAGGAGATTAGCATGCGACGCAACAGGAGATTAGCATGCGACGCAACAGGAGATTAGCATGCGACGCAACAGGAGATTAGCATGCGACGCAACAGGAGATTAGCATGCGACGCAACAGGAGATTAGCATGCGACACAACAGGAGATTAGCATGCGACGCAACAGGCGATTAGCATGCGACGCAACAGGCGATTAGCATGCGACGCAACAGGAGATTAGCATGCGACGCAACGAGTAAACCACTTGCTGTCGCTGCGACAGATTCCTAACATGTGTTCCGAACCGACCGAAGACTAGCTAGTGCTAGGAAGGAAGGAACTAGCGTATGTGGGGAACCTTCCATTAGCATTGCTGCTAGAGTGCGGAAGGAGCAAGGAGGAATTGCACATGGTTTGGCGGGCAAGCACACTCAGTCAATGCTAGCACATTCATCAAAAGCACCCTTTCACCATTATCACTCGACGTGCGTTATAATTATTGTACAATCCCATTTCGAATTTTGTTTGGACCCCCGTTGGGGGAGGGGTGCGCCTTCCTCGGAGTTAGTGCAATACCGAGGCAACGCTCGCAGGGCCGACCAGCAAGCTGGCCATTGGCACCTGCCCCCGAAAGAAATTAATTTAATATCATGTGGACCGATGGTCCACGTATCAGATATTAAACTGATAAGAACAGATACTACACTTGATCTTAGCCAAAAGGCCGAGAAAGGTATGCTGGTCAACTGCATCTTCGTCAACTATATTTCTCCGAAACGCAATTCAACTTCGAGCCTTGTGGGTATTCTCTTCCAACCCTTCACCGTATGGTGCTGCTGAGACAGCCACGTGTTGGACCATATCTGTGCTTGCTGACTTGTGTCCACTAGCCAGTGAAGCCAACACTGCTTCCCTCCCTGCTGTGAGCTCCAGTCTTCGCCGCAACTTCTGCTATTCCATGCGGCGCATCGATGCGTTACATCGCGCACTTAACTAACTCGCAGTAACCGAGTCTTGCGCAATGTTTCCTGTGAAGCGCTGGGACGGTCTTCACGAGGCGCTCCCCTCGTCGTACCTCCACGCCTCCACTCCGCCGCTCAAGCCTCCGCCCACCTTTCCGCTCACTCCCGCTTCCGCCCCGCCGTTTCCCGCGCATAAAAGATTTGAGACGCCTTTCGGCGGCGAGAAGGCGGATCGATTAACGGAGAGCATTGATCAGAGCAAAGTTGGGGGAAAGACTACTGGAGGATCAAATGTCGTTGGCGGAGGCGTCGAAAGAGCTAAGAACGAGAATTTTGCGGCGGAAATTGCGGGAGGAAGCGTTAGTGAAACGAAGAAGAAGAAGAGGAACAAGGGAAAGCGGGAGGTAGAGGAAAGGGGCGCGGAAGGTGCGAGTGCTCCGAATGCGACGGTAAAAGACTCGCACGACGTCGCACGTGACGTGGCGGGAGAGCAGGCAGGGAATGCGCTAGGTGGCGAGGACGGGGGTTCGGTGTTCGCACTAGATGCAGCACAAGGGTTTAGAGATGGCAGTGGGGAGCTGGCACAGGGAGCTCCAGTGGGTAGGGGGAAGGAGAAGCAGAGGAAACGGAGGCGGGAGGATGCTGGGAGTGCGAGCTGTGCTGCGGTTCAAAGCGGTGGGGAGGGGGAAGGTGAAGCAGGAGGCGGAGAAGGGTTTGAGCGAGGTTCAGGGTTTGGGGGTGTAGCGCATGCGGAGCAGGAAGACTCGGTACAGAAAGAGAGTTTAGGGGATGGCGGGGGAAAGGCGAAAAGGAAAAAGGAGCGGAAGGGAAAGGGAGGTGGGCGAGGGAAGCAGGATGTGGCCATGGATGGTGGGGAAGTCACGCTGGTGGTGGCAGCACACGACGCAGCGGAGGGAGATGGAGCGAGGGAGAGGGGAGAAGAGGGGAACGAAGCAGGGGACGATGGTGATGATGGGGTTGCGGGCGCAAAGACGCCGCGTCAGGCACCTTCTAAGCCGCACGCAGCAGCAAAAAAAGGAGGGGGAGGCGGAGGGGCAGGGGGAGGGGGAGGCGCGGTGCTGCCGTGGATGAGGGCGCCAGTGAAGTGCTCTACAGCTGATGCCTTACCACTAGCTTCGGTGCCGAACCTAGACAAACGGTACGGTGGGCAGCTGTTAGGATGCGCGTTGGAAATCTCCCGGTCGCCCTCCTTGTTATCTCCTGCCTTCTCTCCTTCACTGCAACACTCAAGCCCTGCTGCTTCCTCTCCCCCTCTTCCCTTTCTTTCCTCTTTCTCATTCCCCTCATCTCCATCTCCGTTCTTCCTTCCCCCACATCCCCTCTTGCACGCCCTTCCGCCCCGCCGCTCCGCCCCATTCCCCCCTGCCAGCCTCCTGCACGCCCTCGCCCCGGCCGGCATTTCTTATCTCTTTCCCGTTCAAGCCACGGTGTGGCGCGAGCTGCTGGGGTTACCTGGTAACCACTCACACTCCCATGAAAAAGCAGCACCCAGGAAGGGGAAGGACGGGTGGAGAGCAGGCGCTGGCGATGGGGGGAAGGGGAGGCGGAGCGGGGGAGGCGCGCAGGCGGAGTGGGAGGGTGGCGAGGAGCGGGAGGTGGGGGGGCTGCGGGCGGCGTCGCACGACTTATGTGTGTGTGCGCCGACGGGGAGCGGCAAGACGCTGGCGTATGCGCTGCCAGTGGTGCAGGCGCTGGCAGGGCGTGTGGTGCGGCGAGTGCGGGCGGTGGTAGTGCTGCCCACGCGAGACCTGGCTGCTCAGGTGGGTAATACGGTCGTTCCCCCTCCCTGGTAGACACTGGCGTATGCACTGCCAGTGGTGCTGGTTCTGGCAGGGCGCGTGGTGTGAAGAGTCAGGGTGGTGGTATGGTAGTGTTACCCACCGAAGACCTTGCTGCTCAGGTGGGTGTTATGGCGCTGCTGTGCTGCTGTGATGTGATGTGCTGCTGTGCTGCTGCACACATACGCGCACGCACAATTGCTGCTGTGCACGCACACTCCCTTGCTCGCAGACAAACGTATTCTCACTTTGTGCTCCCTTGACCGACTCACACCACACCGACCTCACCTCCTCCCCTTCTCCACTTCTTCAACCAAAATTTAGCCATCAACCTTACTCTTCCACCATTGCTCCCTTAATCTTACTTGTCTTCCCCCACAACACACGCTCCCTCTCTTCTCCTCTCCCTGTCTCCACCTCTCCCCCTCTCCCCTCTCCCCCTCTCCCTCTCTCCCCCTCTCCCTCTCTCCCCCTCATTCTGCCTCGCCAGGTGAAGCACGTGTTTGACACCATAGCGCCAGCTGTCGGCCTCTCAGTGGCGCTCATTAACGGTCAATCATCGCTCGCTGACGAGGCAACCCACCTCGTGCCGCACCCCCCTGCCCGTTCTGGCCCCCTGGGCCTCCTCAGTCGTTCAAGCTACAGCCAGGGAAACGGCTACAGCAGTGGGGCCAGCTGTAGCGGGGCGGATATTGTGGTGGCAACACCTGGACGGCTGGTGGACCATCTGAGGGGCACTCAGGGCTTCTCCCTCTCGCACCTGCAGTTCCTCGTGAGTCTGCTACAACCGTTTGCTCTTCTCTAGCCGTGGGGGTCACAGCGGCTGTAGCATGACAGAGTGCGGTTGCGACCCGACCCCTCATGTACCTCTCTCACTACCCCTCTGCCCCCCCTCTGCCCCCCCTCTGCCCCCCCTCTGCAGCCACCTCACCTCCTCTCTGCGCTTCTCTGTCCCCTGGCCCCCTTGTTCCCCCTTTGTCCCCGCATGGTGTGGCACCATCATCAGGTGGTGGACGAGGCGGACCGGCTGCTGCGCCAGTCCTACCACGACTGGCTCCCGCTCACCCTCGCCGCCGCTGCTGCCGCCCCTTCCCCTGCCACCGCTGCCACGTCAGCTGTCGCCGGCACGCATGCTGATGTAGCTGAGAGCATGTCGGCTCTGGGCGGTCCCATGCGTGCACATAGTGGTGGCAATATGAGCGGTGCTCTCCCAACTCCATTCATTCACGGCCTGCGATCCCTGTGAGCCTCCAACATTCACCTGATGCTGCTCTTTGCTGCTGCTATATGCCGCCGCTATGTGCCACTGCCTTGTGCTGGTGTGTGCATCTGACTTGCATGGTTCCTCTCGCCCTCTCATGCTCTCCCCACTCCATTCATCCACGGCCTGCGACCCCTGTGAGTGAGCCCTCACCTGCTCTTGCTGTGTGCTCTTCCTTGTGTCCCCATCCCAAGTTCTTGCTCTTCGCACTTCCTCTCATCTTCCACCTCTCACATCCCCATAGTTCCCTCTCGTCGTTTGCCACTCACAACCCCGTACCTCCCATTGTTCCCACTCATCCCAGGGTTTAGTCCCCTCTTTCCCATTACTCTCCCCAACACCGAGTGCCATCAAGTGATCAAACTTGTGTGTGCTGTACCATGCACACCCACAGTCCTGCTCCACCTGTGCCTCTTCTCTCCTTCCTTCCGTCCATGCGTCATCGCAGCGCCCCCTGTGCCCCCTCCCTCCTCCCTGTCTCCATTCTCTTCTCGTGCCTCTTCTCTCCTTCCTTCCTTGCTGCATCACAGCGCCCCCTGCGCCCCCTCACTCCTCTCAGTGCCTGCCATTGAGCGCCATCGAGTCATCAAGCTCGTGCGCTCTCCCATTCTCACCCGCCCATCGTCCTGCTCTTCTCGTGCCCCTTCTCTCCTCCCTCCCTTCCTTCCCTGGCCCATCGCAGCGCCCCCTATTTCCCCCTCCCTGCTCTCCCTGCCTGACATTGAGCGCCATCTGGTCTTGAAGCTCGTTTGCTCTGCCACACTCACCACTCGCCTCCTGTGTCCTGTCTCTCTCTCCCTGAACCCTCATTCTGCATGCCATAGCAGCGCCCCCTGCTCCCGCTCGCTGCTCTCCGTACCTGAAAGTGAGCGCCATCGGGTGATCAAGCTCATGTGCCTCTCCATACTCACTTGCGGTCCTTGGCCTCCTGTGACCCTTCCCTCCATATCCAACCCGCACGCCATAGCAGCGCCCCATGTGCCCCCTCGCTACTCTCCGTGCCTGACAGTGAGCGCCGTCGGGTGATCAAGCTCCGCCATGCTCACCTCTCTCCACTCTCTTCTCGTGCCTCTTCTCTCCTTCATTCCCCGCATCATCACAGCGCCGCCTGTGCCCCCTCGCTGCTCTCTGTGCCTGACATTGAGCGCCATCGGGTCATCAAGCTTGTGTGCTCTGCCACTCTTACCCGCGACCCCTCCAAGATCCAACGGCTCAGATTGCACCGCCCTCTCTTCATCTCCTCCGCCGCCCACCTGCTCGCCTCCGCCATGCTCCGCCACGTGGCAGCCGGGGGCACACACCACGCTGGCACCATGGAGGGTGGTGATGTGGGTGCTGAAGTGGAAGGGATGGAGGAGGGAAGGGAGGAGGTGGATGAGGAGGGGGAGGGGGAGGAGGAGGAGGGGGCGAGGCACTACCACCTGCCTCCGCAGCTGGTCACTTCCATGCTGGTGAGTGGCGTGTGAGTGGCGTGCGAGTGGCGTGTGAGTGGCGCGTGAGTAGCACCCCTCTCCTCCCTCCTCCCTCCTCCCTCCTCCCTCTTCCCCCTCCTCTCCCCCTACTCTCTCCCTCTTCAGTCCCCCTACTTCCCCCTCTCTCCCCTCCACCACACATCACCTGTATCCTCACCCCATGTCCCTCTGCACTCTCCCCTGCCTCTCTCTCCCCCTCCGCCTCTCTCTCCCGCGCCAACCCCCCTCCCCCCCTCCCCAGGTGTGTCCGAGTGCGAGTGACAAGCCGCTGCTGCTGGCCGCTTTGCTCAAGAAGCTCACCGCAGGGGAGGAGGCAGGGGCTGACGCAGGGGAGGGGGCGCAGGAAGGAAAGGGAGATGCTGCTGCTAGCACTGGTGCTGCTGCCAACACTGCGGCTGCTGCTGCTGCACGTCCCCGGCAGCTGACGCTGGTGTTTGCGTCCTCGCTGCAGGCGGCCCACCGCCTCTTCCTGCTGCTCTCCGCCTTCCCCCCCGCCTCGCTGCCCTTCGCCTTTGCTGAGTTCTCTTCCCGCCAGCCGCAGCGCCAGCGCAGGTGAGGGCAACGCAGGTGAGGAGGAGAGGCAGTGGTGGTCGCGCTGACGTTGCTTTCCCTCCGCCTGCTTGCATGCCGTGCCGTGCCGCGCCGTGCCATCCATCCATCCATCCATCCATCCATCCATCCATCCATCCATCCATCCATCCATCCATCCATCCATCCATCCATCCATCCATCCATCCATCCATCCATCCATCCATCCATCCATCCATCCATCCATCCATCCATCCATCCATCCATCCATCCATCCATCCATCCATCCTCACCCCTTCAAACCATGTTGGCATGAGCAGTACCATTCTCGATCTATAGGCTCGAGGTGCTGCTGCCTTGCCTCTGTCGAATCATTTCGTTTCCAACACCCTTTTGAACCCCACATTCCCCTGCCATCCCTCCCGTCCCGTCCCTCCCCCTCAAACCACCACAACCACCACAACCACCACCCTCGTGCGCGCATGAGCAGTGCCATTCTGGATCGGTTTCGGAGGGGCGAGGTGCAGGTGCTGGTGGCCAGTGACGCCATGACACGTGGCATGGACGTGGAGGGCGTGTTCAATGTTGTCAGCTACGACGCGCCCGTCTACCCCAAGACTTTTGTTCATCGGGCAGGCCGAACTGCCCGGGCGGGCAGGCCGGGGAACTGCTACACGATTCTGAGGAAGCAGGAGGTGCGCTGGATGCTTGTGACTGTGGTGAAAGAATGTGGCTGTAATGAGATGTGACTCCATTCCACATATCACCCATATATACCCCACATCAACCCCTGCACCCATCCCAACGTCCCTCCACCCGTCCCACCCCTCTTGGATGCTGCACTTCAAGGCGGTGCTGGGGAAGGTGGGCTGTGCAAAGCAAACTGTCACGAGATGAACCATGTGACCCATGTGCTCCATACTTTCCATGTCATCCCCCTGCCCCCATCCCATTCCTGCCCCCTTTCCAGATACGCAGTTAGGTGGTGCTGGGAAGGTGGGTTGTGCTGATTGTGGTGAATCTCACAGTTTCGAGATGACCCATGCTCCCCATCCCACCACTCCGCTTTCCCGTTACCCCTCCGCTGGGCGGTGCTGGCGAAGGTGGGCTGTGTAGAGTGCCCGCAGAGCAAGGCGCCCTCCCACCTCATGGAGGGGCTCAGAGAGCACTACGATGCTGGTGAGTGCTGTGCGGTGCTGGTGGGTGACGTGCGATGCTGGTGAATGCATTACTGGTGGTGTATGTACAGGGAGAGCGCTTGTGTGGATGTGGGAGTGCTCCTCTCCCATTTATCAGTCCTCACCTCACACCTCTCTTGCTCCCTCCTCTCACACCCCGCTTGCTCCCACCTTTCACATTTCACATCTACCGTACGTCCCTCCCACATCTTTCCCACACCCCTCCACCTCCTCGCATCTCTCACTCTCGCGCCTTTCCCCCCTTCCCGCCGTCCTTGCCTGCAGCATTGGAGCGGCTCAAGGCAGTGGTGGGAAAGGAGGAGCGCAGAGGCAAGTGATAAGGTTGATGCGCCAGTCATCGTCTCTAGCACCCATCTCAATGCATTCATACAGTGGCTTGTTCGCCTTCTTGCAAGTTGCACTTGTTGGGTTGAGTGGTTGAATAATGTGTGGATGTGTTGACCAGAATCAACTAGCGGTAGTGCTTTGATGCCCGGTAAAATCCTTTCCGAAAGCGCTTTAGAATAGTTAACTCTCGTGTTGAGGGCCACTGATAGCAGCTGGTTACGTAACGAGCACAGTACCCAGCTACATAGGGTATCCTTATTTTTGTTGGAAACAACTGATTTAGGCGCCTCTGTCGTGTCGAAACACCAAGACAGAAGCGAAGTAGCTCGTATCGAAATATCGGTGAGTCAACCCTCGGAGGTTGAATAACTGTTGGAGGTTACGCGAAAGTCAAAGGTCAGCGACCTTTGACCTGACAAATGCAGCGTGACAGCAAGGACAACCAACTGTCTCGATACTGAGCAGTTGCCCGAGTCGACACTGTATCGAACCGCAACAGCAACAGTAAAACAGTTAACTGTATCTCTTCATATTCCTTTGTATTCTTATAAAAGCTTGTATCTCTTTTATTATCATTAACTTACTTTGCCCTCACATACTAGTGCAAGGTGGTTCACAACTCTTTAATTAACGCTTCCGCTACTACACCAACTCTACCCAGAGTTCACCCCTGCAAAGATCCTAAAGGGCTTTTCAGCCCAACATGGTATGAGAGCTATCAGGGGGAATTCAACTTCTATACCGACAACATCAACAAGCATGGCTACACAAAAGGAAAGGAGCAACTCCAACGGCTCCCAGGGCACTACTCCTACTCCACCTCCTGCCTCTGGCCTACAGACAGAGGAGGGCACAACAACAAGACCCAGAGCAACATCTACCGAGACTCCCACGAATCAACCTGCAGACTTCGACCAGAGCATGATGGAGAAGTTTTTCTCCTTCATGTCCTTCTACGAGCAACACCAACAATCGGCACCTGCGCAGTCACACAACAACAACAACAACGGAGCAACACCCATGAGTCTCGACGGCTCATCATATGCACGAAGAAATCAACAACAGCAACCTACCTTTGCTCCGTACGAGCGCGGGTCCATCAGCTTTATGCCACAACCTTCACCTGGACAAGAAAAATCACTGGACGCATTACAAGTTCAGTCGCAGTTCGCACACGTTCTGAAGATGCAAACGTCAAGACCTTTCGATGGAAAGGACTTCTTCACCTGGTCGTTCGAGTTCGAGCTGATGATGGAAGGCGCGCAGATACTCGGGTTCTTCGACGGGTCTCTGCCATACCCAACAAACGGCACACAGTACGAGAAGCAGCAGTACACCTATCAGTCAATGATGGCGTACACGATCCTACTGAGGAATATCACCCCGACTCAACAGCAGAACATAAGGTCTTACCGAGGTTACGGCAACTCCGCGGAGCTCGCGTACAACCACCTGAAGAGCCTGTATCAAGCAACAGACAGCGTAAGCCAAAGTCGGTTAATGGCGCAACTGACAACGGTTGAGATGAAACCAGGGGAGAAAGGAATGGCGTATATCAGTCGATGTCGCGAGTTGCGCGACAAGCTTCTTCGATGCGGAGGGTCGATCTCTGAAGACGCCTTCGTAACAGTCATCATCGGCGGCCTCGGTCCTCAATGGCGCGCCACAAAGGCCATTCTCCGAGCTCACGGAAGAATCTCCGAAGCAGCGCTCTGCGCCGAAATCCACGCAGAGCAGCAAGACATGGACCTGCAAGAAGAACGACACAAAAAGAAGACATCAGCACCGGAATTCGCGTTCCACACTCAGCGACGCTACAACAACAACAACAACCGGCAGCAACAACCGAAGCCAGTACCTCCGTTCTGCCACATCTGCAAAACTTCAGGACACCCGCGTACGCACTGCCCAAATCGTCAACAGTCAACAACTCCACAGCGGCAACTTCAACCTTCAAGCAGCCAAATCGCCTCAACGCAAGCAAATCCCACGACCCAGATTCAAGCCTCAACGACTTCAACGGGACAACCTGCACAAGGAGCAAGAAACATCGTCAGCTGCATTGCAAAGCTGAGTGACTCCTGCATCACCGAGTCACCACCACACTACTCACCGGAAGAACAACTCGACGAAACCACACCCCGCCGCGAGTCACTTCAGCCGAACCCGACATACGCCGCCATCGCCCAAAGCGAACCATCCGGAAAAGACACATGGTTCTTGGACAGTTGCTGCGGACAGCACATGTGCTCCTCGGGACGCTTCGTTCAACGAGAACACCAACTTCAACACGAAGTTGTCATTACAGTCGCCAACAATCAGAACCTGCGAACACGACGACAAGGCGTAGTTCAACTTCAGTCAAGGGAAACAAACATTATACTGCAGATGTCAAAAGTACTAATCGCAGAGGGACTCGACTACAACTTACTGAGCGTCAGTCAGCTAATGGCGAAAGGGATTCACCTCGAAGCAGACAGCACCACCCAAGAATTCAAGCTGTATCATGGGAGAAGAGGACTTTACATCGGCAAGGCGGTCCTCAAGAACAACGTCTTCGTTCTTGATTTCGTTCCTGATCTTCGCACCGCCGACAGCGACGCCATCGTTAACTTCACCAACTGGACACACCCTCCAGACCTTGATCCAGACTTCAGTCCAGAAGGCTTCTGGTACTCACACACCATCCCTGAAGCAGAAAGAACAAGGGCGTTAGCAACAATTCAGACAACATCGGCAGCAGCAGAGACAACATCGGCAGCAGCAGAGACAACATCGGCAGCAGCAGAGACAACATCGGCAGTAGCAGAACCATTAACGGCAGCAGCAGGAACGTCAACACCAATTGCTGGTCCTTCAACGACACCGCTCCTCATCGACGACACACCACCGACACCCGCGCAACAACTACACCCAGCACCACAAGAAGTTCATCGTAGCGCCAACTTCACCGCCAACTTCTATTCCAACTCCGATATGTACCGACGATCACCCGGACATCGCGCCGACGAAAGCACCTGGCACGCAAGGATGGGACACCCAAGCAACACAGTATTAAACAATACGATAAGAGCAGGAGTACTCGACAAGGACTCACTCCTACTGACCGACGGACGAGAACTTCAACGAGTACGCGGAACGTGCTTCACCTGCCCTGAAGGTGACTTACCACATCGACCGTTTGCGTCTCATCACAACCCGAGCGCACCCGCGTACGCACCACTCGAGAAGGTGTATAGCGACATCCTGTACAATCAGGAACCAGGACAAGCAATATACAACTATACAATCACCTTCATCGACGCCACCACCCGTTACGTCTGGCACCTAAACCTCCCTAGCCGCGACATGGCATTCGCAGCCTTCGTTGCCTGGCTACCAGTAGCAGAGAGAGAATCGGGCGTGAAACTGAAAAGCTTCCAGTCAGACGGAGGAGGAGAATACACCTCTCAGCGATTCAAGCAGTACCTGGCGGAAAGGGGAATCAAGCGGCTCGTCTCCCTTCCCTACGCCCATCAGCAGCAAGGTGTAGCAGAAAGAATGAACAGGACCTTGCAGAACAGCATGCGCAAACTGTTACGTGGCATGCGGCTACCCAACCACCAGTGGCCTGCGGCAATGGACCACGCCGTCATGCTGCACAACTTGCTCTCGTCATCATCGCTTCCAAACAACGCATCACCGCATCTGCTATGGACAGGAAAACAGGGCAGCACAAAAATGTTACGAGTATTCGGATGCATGGTACAGTACCGACCCCCAGCAGCACGAGCGGGCCGATTTTCTCAACGAGCACAGTGGGGACTACACCTGGGAATCGAAAAGAACTACAACGCGTGGAAAATCTTCGACGTCCATTCCAAGGAAACAGTAGCAGCACGTGATGTAATTTTCTACGAACGACTCACGCTCCAGACATACCTTGCCAACCTGCAAGAAGACCAGGATCCCACAGGTGGTTTTCGCGGTGACCGAGCCTTCGCCTCAGCAACGGACGAAGCTGACTGGGACGAGCAGAATGTGGACAACGCATCAGAAGAAGCCGGACCTCTTCCGTTCTGCTCCGTGGACGTTCCCATGGACGAAGATAACCCTCGCGAAAGTGTCAACGCCGAAACCTTCTACTATTTCGCCGACAACGGTTACGTAACACCTGCGACAGTCAACACCAACGAAGCAGAACGAGTAGGACCCAACTTCATACCTGATCCAGAAGCGGGAGATGAAGCAGCTTATCCCGAGGACGCAAATCTTCCCCGCTACTCACAGAGTGGACTGCAAATTCTCGGACTCGTCACCGCAGTCCACGGCACCGCCATTCCTAAAGAGCCTGCGACGGTTCAACAGGCTTTGGGGGGGAAGCATAAGGAAAAATGGCGCGAAGCCATGGACAAGGAGCTGAAGGCACTGGAGGAACGCAACACGTGGAAAGTGGTTCCTATCGGCGTGGCACGGAACAAGACAGTGCTCACCGGGAAGTGGGTCTTCCGTGTGAAGACAAAGGCTGACGGCACCATTGACAAATTTAAGGCTCGCTGGGTTGTACGCGGCTTCGACCAAGAACACGGACGCGAATTCACCGAAACTTTCGCTCCGGTTAGCCGCCACACCTCACTACGCATTCTCCTTGCAATCGCCGCCATGAAGAAGAAGAAGCTGCGACAAATTGACGTCGCGAACGCGATTCTCTACGCACCTGTTGATGCAGAAATTTTCGTCGAGCTACCGCACGGCTCCCACAGAGAACCCAACCAAGTCTGCCAGCTACTCAAGTCACTCTACGGCATCAAGCAGGCTCCGCGACTGTGGCAACAGTACCTGCACACTCGCCTCATCCGCATCGGCTTCAAGCAACTACCGCACGATCAAGGCATGTACCGGCTCACAAAAAACGACGACTACATCCTACTAATCGTCTACGTGGACGATCTCCTTTACATCGGCTCGAATGACGGCATCACTACCTGGTTCGAAGGGGAGCTGCAGCGAG